GTGATGGCCCCCCCGAGACGGCCACATCTGCAGCCGTCCTCGAGCGAGGTGTGAGCGGTGTCCGTGAGCAGACCGCACCCTCTTGCGCGTCGGGGGCTGCAGTCGTACGTGGCAGCGGCGCACGATTGTGCGCTGGGACAGCATTTCCCCCGCCCTCTCTGGCTGTCGTCGCGGCGTCGACGTCGAGGACGTCTTCCGGTACTGCCCGCCCTCCTGCGCGTCGTCTGTCACCAACGTCGTCTATGCGGAGGCCTCCACTTCCCCACCTGGACGACTTCCGCTGCAACGACACATCGTCAGACTCGTCGAAGTCCGTCCCATCCTGCGTCGCCACCTCCTCCGGCACCCACTCTTCATCCACCACGTAACTTCCATGTGTCGGGCCGCCTTGGAGGATCTTCCTCTTCTTGCTGGCCATGTGGCGGCCCTTCTTCTCCCGGATCGGCGGTTGTTGTGCGAGGTTGACGGCGGCCTTGCCGCGTTCGGAACCACGGGACGACATGGCGCAAGACACACCCACGACAAGCTTGTTCGCCCGCTTCGTTTCGATGACGTGCCCTGCGCTATCGAAGCCAACTGTCAACTTCGATGGCGGTGTTGGCGACGTATTCCACGACGGCCCTCAACAGCGACGACGATGGCGATGATCGCTTGGTATGCGATGATGGCGACGTCCGCAGTGACGATGACGATCTTGACGACGAAGGCGACGATGTTCGGAAAGGCGACGACGGCGGTGAAGACGACGGGCGAGATGATGTGCACGCCGACGACGAATGCGCCGAAGATGATTGCCAAGATTACGCAAGCAGTGAAGATGGCTACGTTGGCGACGGACGCGGTGACGATGGCGATGACGGCGACGAAGGCGATGACAATGGCGATGATGGCGATGAAGGCGATGACGTTAACAAAAAGCGACGATGGCGATGATGGCGACGAAGGTGCTGATGAAGGCTACGAAGGCAACTCACGCGGCGAACACGACTGCGACGGCGACAGAACAAGAGCAGCGGGCGCCGGGGACTGCGTCAGGGAGAGAGAGAGAGTGCTTTCGTGCATTTGCGAAGAACGCCCGCGTCCTTATAAACACGTGTCACGTGGGGTGGACGACAACGAAGGAGCTGTAGGAAGTCCAGTCCAAAGTCATTTCTATGCTCCACCAAACGATACGAAAAGTGTAGGGTCATCGCGGGGGGCAAGACGAAAGGCAAAGGGTTGCGGGCGAGACAACCGTGCATCCGCTGCACCGCCACCCATCGTCTCGCCACCCTTCGTCGATTGTGGACACGGAAGGACCCCACAGCCCGAAATTCTGCCCCCAGAAATGACTCCATCCCACTCCCCCATCGTCCACACTCCATGCCGGCCAGGAATGTACCCGACGACCAAACTCGCCTACCCCCAAACCAAATCCCCCCCCCCCCCCCCCCCCCCCCCCAACCATGGCATGCATATTGGCCGGGACGGGTTGAATATTCCCCTCCCGACCTCTGAAATACAGCACCCAACCCGATGATCTACCAGGGCACGAAAAGAGGTAAATAAACCAATACAAAATACACAACACAAGCTGCGTTTTGTACAGCTGTGATGACTCGACATCCACATTTGGAGGACATTTTTAATCGAACCCAAGTACGCCTGTACTCCATCGACGACAAATTGAGTGTATGCACAATATTAGCAAATGCATACAAAAAATGGACGGCATTACAGACAACACCTTCATGGCACCATTGCATTTCATTTCAGGAAAAGACACCAAAACACATGCTGGAGAGAAAGAGGGAGGCGATTTTGATTGAACACAAGCATTCTGAAAATGAAACGGCATTAAAGACAACACCTTTACATTTCATTTAGGGCGAAGACACAAAGAAACAAGCGCGCGCGCGAGAGAGAGAGAGAGGGTGAGAGAGAAAACGAAATCGAAGTGGCCATCTAAAAAAGGGAAGTGCATACTGCACTTCATCGACGCCAATTACAATTCAGAGTTGACGGAATTATCCGTCCCGTCACACGACCGAGACTTACAAAAAACCAAACGAACGATGGCACGATGCAAACGAATGAAAAAAAAAAAAACAAATGTCACTGGAGGACTCATCCACTGAATAGGACCACTACCCGATTCCCTGGCCAGCACCGCCAATGAGGGAACGACACATCGACGACGACGGCGATGGCTACATCGACGACGGAAAGACTCTCACTTTCGCGCCGTCCACATCCATGGAAGCGAACAGAGAGCACAAAAGAGGCGGCACGAAGTCTAACGCTTGGCGATGGCCTTCGCTATCTCCAGCAAGGCGTGGCACATAAGCTTGTTGACTTTGTCTCACGCTGCGTAGTGCTTTTTCTGCACTTCGACCTCCGCTTCGAGCGCCTCACACTGCCGTATGGCGATGGAGCAGTGACGCTTGTTGTTGCTCTCCATTGTCGACGCCATTAGCGCTCTGTGCTTCTCCATGCATTCAGTCATTGCCTCGGAAGTTTGCTGCCTTGTGCTCTTCCTCTTGTCGAAATTGCGCCACCCGTCGTCTGCGAAGAACCTTTCCTGGACCCGTCATCGTCGTCGTCGTGCTCTGCACCACCGTCCCCGTCGCCCTAAGATTCAGGATCCGCAGAAGAGGCGGACGACAGACGTACACCACCCTGAGCACCAGTGTCGGCGACGTTCTTCGGGTTTATGGTGTGGTTCTTGGCGGTCGACCCCAGTATCTCGTCGTAAACCGCACGATCCATATTGAAACTGAAGCCCTTTGACGTCCTGTCCTTCCCAGACAATTGGAAGAAGTCCTGTTTCCCGGACAGTCCTTGGAAGTGATGCACCTTCTTGAACTGCTGCATCAGATTGTCCCACTTCTTCCCGCACCGATCTGCCTTTCTGTCGACGCCCACCTTCTTAAACCTCGTCGCCACATCCAACCACTTGCATTCTCGCGGCTTCATTCGAGCGTACGCGTGACCCATCCCCTGCAGATGCACATCCTGATCACGTTTAGCCCGGATGAGGGCTATAATGTCGTCGACGGACCAGAAGTGACGACCTCCTTCCCCATCGACGTCACCTTCGGCATCGCTAGCCTTGCCCGCCGCCCTTTTGCCCCGACAACCATTGCCGGCACACGACTTCGTCTTCCCGCCCCTCCCTCCCATAGCGGCCGCCTGCTTCGACGGCGAAACATAGCCTGCGTCGTCCTCCCCACCTTCAACACCGTTGTCGTTCCAGTCGGGGGCGCGCGCGTCCGCCACTGCTTCCTCGCCGTCGTGTCCGTCTTCCCCAACACGCAATTGCTGCACCCCCTGAGTTATGGACTCCTCCCGCCCCGACCGCAACAACCGTCGCTGTTCTGCCCACACCTCCCTCCCGTCACGTGCGTCACCAACATCAGCGATGCCACGCGCCGTCTCCCCACACTCGCCAAGACGGCAGCCTGCACTCGAACCGGCAGACAGGGGAGACGTAGACTGCATCTAGTGGGGGCGAGCGGAGGCACCCCTACACACAGACGGCGACCGAAATTGCTGCCTCGGAGGATCTGTGTTGTTCCCCGAAGCCTCCCGCAGCGGTGCTGGAGACCTCGATGTTCGCAAAACAGCCGTCACGTCGCCGCCATCGTCGTTGGGATGGGGGTTTACGACGACCGTTCGAGAGACGGCCGCCGACCTCCCGCTACCAAGTCCAAACGACAGATTCACGCCGCCATCGCCATCGTGGTCGCTGAGCCCCTGCTGGAGGAGTTCGGTGTAGGACTGCCCATTACCGCCCTCGCGGATTCCAAACAGCTCTGTAGCCGCCCACTCCGGGGTGGATCCGCTTCCCAGCGGCACGGTCCGTGACCGTCTATCATCCGCCTCCTCATCAGGCGTGTCTGGCAGAGGTTGCAAGTGCGGTGGCAGGTGCGCGTACCCAGACCGCTCCGACGGGCTTGAACTATTCGATGGGCTGTGCCCAGACTGCCGCCCACCGTGCTCCCCTGTCGACCCGCTGATCGCCTGCCGGCCCTCCATCCTGGCGTCGTTCTTCAAAGACCTCCTTCTGCGGCCACGTCGCAGAACGCTGCCGAGGATGCACACGTGGAAGACAACCAGGAGGAGGAGCAATAAGACGACCAGCACCAGCAGCGGCAGCCTCCGAAAGACGTCGGCCATGAAAGGCACGTGGATGACGGTGGCAGCTAGAAGACAACGGGGGATCTATCACGTAACGGCGAGGGACAGTGCTGCAAACGCCTGAACGCAGCAAATGACAAAAGCAGGGTAACGTATTCCTTCTGTGAAGACAGTGCGCAATCGCCCGGGCGGGGGGCGGTTGAAATATTTGAATCTGTCGACCGTTGGGCGCCTTCCCGCTCGGGGCCAAGGGCAGCGACGCAAGACAGCCCCTTTTCGACGTCGCGGAGGCCAGCAGGCCGCCAAAGGGGACCGTTGGCGGACTATTCCATGACGCCGACCGTTGCCGATCGAAGATGTCCGTCCACGGGCGCCAGGAACAGCAGAAGTACAGACGGCCGTCGAAAAATGTCGTCGAGAGAGCTGCCGACGACGTCCCGATTCTTCCGGATGCTCGACCTCCGAGGGACCTCGGGAGGTCCCTTGGGGAACGCCTCGAAATGGCTGTAGCCCGAGGAATCCCCGAGGAATCCCCGAGGAAATGTTTTCACATTCTTTTTCCAATTTCTTCCCCGGGGATAAGTGGAACGATCATTTCCTCGGGGGATTTACGCGCCCGAGGAGTGTGGAAGGAGCCCCATAAACAAATAAAAAAGATTTTTTAGGGGTAACTACGGCGCAAATCTAATCCACTTCAGGCATCCCTCGAATACAACACATCCCCACCCAACCCTAAAGCTGGGTTGGATACAGTCGTGGTTTTCCTCGCTTTGGAGCAAAATTCGGGAAACCGTGACTTGGAATGCATTTAAAACTGAAAACCTTGACTGCGCCCTCTAGTTTTCTCTATTTTTTTATTTCACTTTTAGTTTTCAATTTGGTAAGGAATTTGGATTGAACGCTGAGCAAAGGTTTTTTTTTTTTTTTTTTTTTTTAACACAAAAAGGGCCCAGTGCCCAAGGCTGATATTTCCAAAGATAACATCGAGGCCGGGGACCTCACAATCTACCGGGATGTGGCAATGCCTGGGAGCCTTACCCATTTTTGCTTTGTTCAGTTCATTTTTGTTTTCTGCATAACCTAGTTTTTGTTTTGGACTTGGTGAAATTTTTCTTTCTTTTTTTCCCAGGGACCAGTAAGATCACTGTGCACTCCATTTGCCCTTGTCCCTTGGGCCCACCCGTTGTACTGCCGGCCCTCTGCCAAATGGGCAAGGGCGGGCTGGTGCTCGTATACGAGTACTGATGGACAGTACTTTCAGATGGACTGGTGGTTTAAGTGCACGGCATTAAATGTCCCAAGGTGACCCAGGCAGCCCCGTCTGTAGCCCGGGTACCAGGTATTGGGACAATTGCAGTGGCAGCTCCGGACACTTTTAGAATGTTGAGCAGTGGAGTGCGGCCCATATTATACTATCTTGAATATGTTATATCAAATTTATACGTGTGTTTTTGTTTTTTTTTCTTTCCAATCTGGACAATTGTTACACCCAGCCAGACTGTCAGGGTACGGATGTCCAGATGTCCAGACTCAGCATTCTTGTCCGAATATCAGGACGTCTGTCTCCTCGACATGGCACGCACGGATGGAGACAGTAAGATCAGTGTGCATGTCATTTGCCCTTGAAGTTTTCCATTGGTCCCACCCGTCGTACTAGCAGCCCTCTCTGGAATCGGCAAGGGCTGGCGCTCGTATACGAGTTATTGGACAGTACTTTCAGTTAGACAGGTGGTTTAATAACAGGGCATTAAATGTCCCAATTTCCCAAGTTTTTTGTGCATTTCAAATTTCAATGCACAGTACCACAAACCTACAAAGAATGGCAGTCCTTTGTCATTAGGTCGTTAAAATATACAGAAAGTAGTACTAAATCAGGCCTTAGGGCATCTGGCTATGACCAGTTTTGGTCTATTTTAAAGCACTGTCACAGTTGCAGTTATAAGGGCATCTGGCTGTTATGGCTGCAATCAGCGATTTGGTTCCAAGCGGGGTTGTAGATGTAGGTGTCGTAGATTTGATTGCTCATGATTACTGTCCAAACCCAGAAAGGACTAGGTATCACATTTTTTGCTCATCCATCCACCCAGCCATTTGGCAAGGATAAAAAAAGAATTTGGAGGCTGAAGGCCTTGTAGCCATAAATCATGGAATTCGGTATAAGATCATTTCAGACTGATGAAAAATCAAAGATAAAACTTTCTTCTTTTTTTTTTCCCCCAAGATAAAACTAATCTGCTCTGATTGACAGTTAGTGGATAGTTAGGGTAGGACCCCACAGGACCGCGGCAAACGGTTTCGGAAGTGACGACTTCCAGCCGACTGCCCACCGCCAACAGAGGGGACCCCACCGCCGCCGCGAAATGTTGATGTGGCGTCGGCACCGGTTACCGAAAAAGGAAATTCCGGGGCGTATTTCCTTTTTGGGAAAGGAGTGGGCCGTTGAGCCCATTCCAGGTCCGTACTCGGTGGTCCAAATGGAAGGGCGTCTGTGGATAGTGGGCGACCGTGCGGCATTTCCTGCGTGACAGCGATGTGGAGGCGGGCGACATACCGTCCCCGGTACCGGGTTCCAAGCCGTTTGCCCGTTGGCCAGTACGTTATGATTCGGGTAGTCGTCCACTGGTTCAGGGCCCAAAGGCGCACAGCGGCGAACGCCATACCCGTTCCCTTTGAAGCTTCCAAGAGCAATGTCTACCTCACTGCACGCGCGGACGCCCTGCGCGCCCCTGCGAGCATTCGGGGGATGAAGCACACGACCGGTTGCATCGTGCTCACTGACTTCGGTGTGGGTGACATTGGTGACAGAAGGCAGCCTTTTCCGAAGCGCGAGGTGCTGTTCCTCCTGTTCCAGGATTCGGTATCCGTGCACACATGGACAGCGGAGGAGCACATCATCGGCAGCACAATGGAGGAGACGAAGTCGTTGACGACGTGCTGTTCATGACCGTCATGGCGATTATCCAGTGGATGAACAGGCGGAATGCAGTAGTCATGGCTGTGCTGCAGGCTGCAGCCTCCATGCCTGTATTCAATGCCGACTCACAGCAGTGCTTCGTACTCCTTGCAGGATGTGTGTGCCATACCATGGCTGTTGAGTGGCTGGCAATGAGGAATATGGAGAGGGTGATGGATGACGAAAGGAGGATTTGGGTGTTGGAGCGGAGCGGGGGGGTTTGGAAGGACCTGCAGCATGTGGGCCATCGTCATGACAAGGTCTTTGTGAGATTCTGCAGGCTGCCACGTCCACTCTTCCATGAAGTGCTTCAGCGCATTGGTCCTCACATACAGCGCCAGACCACGAATTGGAGACCACCTCTGCCGGCGGAGCAGAAATTTGCATGTGCCCTCATCAGGTGGCCGACTGGCGGTTACTACAGGCAGTCAGGTCACGGGCTGGGCATAGGTCTTATGAGTGCGCTGCGAAGCAACAAGGACGTGGCTGAAGCTATCGTGAGGGAATAYGCTCATGTCATCTCCTTTCCACAGGGRCGACGTYTAGAGGACTGCCTCGATCACTTCGAACGCAAAGGCTTTCCTGGGTGCGTGGGCGCTATCGACTRTACACATTTGTACATCGAAAARCCSAGGAATGAACGTCCGGAGTGCTACTACGATCGGACTAGACAATTYTCCATTGTAGCACAAGTCGTTTGYGACCAYGAGTGCCGSATTTCTGACGTCTATGTCGGGAGCCCGGGATCTCTTCACGACTCTCGCGTGTTGAGAATGTCCCGTCTTTGCGTTCAAGGAGAGAGCGGCGAAGGTGTGTTTTCCGGGGAACATACGTTGTTGCGGGATGGAACATCTATTGCACCCTACTTGTTGGGAGATGCGGGCTTTCCTTTGCTCGACTGGCTGATGACTCCCCATAGCACGCGTAGGGATCGCGCCCCTGCGCAGGTGACATTCAATGATGTCCACTCAATGGCGAGGAATGTCATTGAGCATACCTTCGACATTCTGAAAGGCATCTGGAGGAATTTTGGACGGCGACAAATCGACAATTTGAAGACCATTTGCTGTGAGTTCATGGCCGTCTGCATCTTGCACAATCTGCTCATCGACTTCAAAGTCAATCTGCAGGACATGATGGAATCAGACGAGGACCCGGAAGATGATGATAGCGATGACCATAATCGTCGCCGTAGGCGACGTCCAGTAGTTCCATCCAATGCGGGGGATGAGGAGGATGACGACGGCGTTCGCATCAACTTTCAGGGTCTTACGACGCCATCGCAGCGGATCAGGGCCAGATTGGTTGGACACGTTGGCCATCATGTCCGCGTACATGGTCTGCGTGATCCCAGTCCGTGGCGAGCATGAGCGCTACACACACACACACACACACACACACACACACACACACACACACACAGAGAGAGAGAGAGAGAGAGAGAGAGAGAGAGAGAGAGAGAGAGAG